CCGCTGCAGCGCCTCCGGCCGGACCAGCGACACCATCGCGGGCGGCCCCGCGAGCGGGCGCCGCGCCCCTTCGCCGCTTCGCGGGGGGCCCCGCCCTCGCTCGAGCGGCTCCTCGGCAGCGTCAGGGCCTCGCTCAATCGGCTCCTCGAGAGGCTCCTCCTCCTCCTCCTCCTGCTCCTCTGTCTCATCTTCGGCCTTGTGCTCCTCCACGCGCTCACCTCCTCACCTCCTCACCTCCTCCACCGCCTCCTCCTCCTACCCACTCTCCTCCATGCCCACGCATCCTCACGCTGTGCGTCCCTCAAAGATAACTCCTGTCGAAAGCCCAAACATGTCGGCAGGGTGGGCCAGGCGTTGCATGAGACTTCCTCCCCACTTATAATCCTGACGCGTGAAAGTTGTACCATTTGTGAGCATAAAGGTCGGGCCGTTTCCAAAATGGAGTTCTCGCCTTGGCGCCGCGCGCATGTGTCAAACAAATGCAACACCTTCTGGAGTAAAGGGCGGCTCGTTTTCAGAATGGGGATTTCGCCTGAGCACCACGCACATCAGTCACGCACACTTGAAGAGTTGCAGGGATACTTAGCAATTGGTTTTAAACATGTGGGCGGCCTGCAATACTTCAAGGTGGACACAGAACCTATTAGGGAACCGAACTCTATACACCGACGCTTCTTCCGGCCCTGCATTGGAATGTGCACTGGAGAGCGGATCCTAGTGTATACGGGACACTGGTGTGTAACTAATTGTTTCGATGTTTCCCGGGGACATCGGGGAAACACGTATATACCACACCACCCCAGCGTCGTCCTCGACCCTCAAGAAGTCCTGGAATTGAGAAACAGCCCGCCACTGGGAATGTATGTGCTCCAGTTTCCGACACGTAACATCTACAACATATGCAACATTGGCCGCTCGCTTGAGAGATGCTCAGACCTGAAGACTCGAAGCTGGAACAGCTGGTGCAGCTTCACGGCTGGAGGGCGTCTCCCTTTCGAACTGGGGCTCTCGTGCGAGACCCCCTGGGCACTCAGGACCAGGAGCAAAAACTGGCGCAAGAGTTTCACGGACGGGGCGGCTGGTTGTTCCAAGACGTGGGCCCGGACATGCGGCGTCCTGATGTTTGTCAGCACGGGGCCCCTGGAAGTCCCGACCCTTTCCCCGGGGCTGGTGTTTCACCCCGTGCGGTTTCTCGACGGCCCCGCAGCCTGGCGAGGACACCCCGAGGCTGCAATTGACCAACAATGGAAGGAGGCGTGCACCATGCCACGGCCTGTTCGGGGCGTTTTGCTGTTGAGCGCGCGTGGGCCAAACCGACGTTGGCGCAGCTGCCGACGGAGGGCGCCCATGCCACACGCCCCCGGCGGGGGCGCGTGACATCGCGGGCGAGGCCGCAGGCAGAGCAGGAGCCTCCCGCCCAGGATGTTTGAGCGACGCGATCATGTCTGGGGATGCCGCTGGACGCCTCGCTGAGCCGTGTGAGCATACTCGAGCAGGGACCGACCGTCCCGGCATTCCTATGTACGGAAGCGAACTCTATACACCGACGCCGTTGTCTGGCCTCACACTGAATCTCGCACAGGAAGGCGGACTCTGCTGTATACGGGATCCTGGTGTGTACACTCTTCGTTGTTTCCCCGGAAAAAACTAAGAGAACTATGCAGCACACCACCCCGACGTCGCCCCCGACCCGCCAAACAGACTTGGGAGTGAAAAGCCGCCCGCCACTGGTAATGTATATGCTCCAGTTTCCGACTATAGTCCTACCACGAAATGCTCTTAGAACCCACAGATGTTCTACGAACAAGAACACTGTTCATATGACATGAACCCGATGTGATAAAGCAGGACAGTCCCAACCAGGCATGTTCTAAGAACATGTCGTGGAAACCACCAAATGTTCTTAGAACACTGTTTGGCAAGGCTATAGGCGAGCCAGGACGCCTCGCCAATGCTCGAGCATGCCTTCGCGCATCGTACGGCACCCCTCGCCGGAGGGATGCGGAGCCGTCCGCACAGCCTCAACACGGGGCTCTCGCCCAAAGGGCAGGCCCGCTGCGCGCTGGGCTTTCCAAGGCAGCGCTCTCGCCATCGCTCGGACGTCCATTCCCTGTGTTTTGTTAGGTTTCGTGCGTGTTTTTTTCGCCAAATGGTCAAGGATGCTCCTCGATGGCGCTCGTCGAAGGAAAAATGCACACGTCCGAGCGATGCCAAGCGCTTCCTTTCGGCCAAAAGGAGCACGTGTTGCATGGACGTGTGAGGAGGGGACCTGGGACTGCGGGGCGTGTAGTATCGCCGCTGATGCAGACCACGGGCTTTCCCCTGTCTTGCTGCTCACTGCTTCACGCCCGCTCCTCCTCCTCCTCACTTCTACTCCTCCTCCTCCTAATCCTCCTCCTCCTCCTCCTCCTCCTCCTCCTCCAAGTCCTCCTCCTCCTCTCACGCCACCTGGTCGGCCTGATCACCGCGCCCTTCAAGGAGGAAGACGCGGACGAGGAGGGCAATGCGAAGCAGGAGCAAGGATACTACGTACACAATCCGATGGCTGGAAGGAATGTGCGAGGAGAAGTAGAGGAGACGGGACGGAAGAGGACGGGAGGAGGAGGAGGAGGAGGAGGAGCAGACAATAACTAATGAAGAGGTGAGAGCCATGATACCACATTCGTGTTGTAGGGTGAGGAGGTCTCAGCCCCCCTAGCAGCAAGGAGGGCAAAGGCAGAGGATATGGTGCCCCCAAGCCGCCGAGAACCCTCTGAAAAATCCGGCATCCCCTTCAACCTTCCCCCACCACTCCTGATCCCCGTTCTCATCCCCCCTCCGCCCCTTTCAGATCCATCACCCTTTCTCGTGTTCCAACCTTCTTATCCCTCATTCTCTGCCTCTCCCTCTTCACTTCTGAACATGCCTTCCGTCGATCCTCCCTATTCCTCCTCATTCCTCCTCCTCCACCTCCCACCGACATTCCTCCTCCTCCTCCTCCTCCTCCTCCTCCGCCTCCTCCTCCTCCTCCTCCTCCGGCTCCCCCTGCTGATACTCTCCACCACCACCTTGACCGTACCTCCCCCTACTTCTCACCTCAGCTCCATATCATCATCATCATCATCATCATCATCATCATCATCATCATCATCCTCATCATCATCATCATCATCATCATCATCATCATCATCATCATCACCACCATCATCATCATCATCATCATAATCATCATCAGCATCGTCATCATCGTCATCATCATCATCAGCATCATCATCATCATCAGCATCATCATCATCATCAGCATCATCATCATCATCATCAGCATCATCATCATCATCATTATCATCATCATCATCAGCAGCAACAGCATCATCATCATCACCATCATCATCACCACCACCACCACTATCATCATCATTAGCATCATTATCATCAGCATCATCATCAGCAACAACAGCATCATCATAATGTGCATCAGCATCAGCATCATCAGCATCAGCATCAGCATCAGCAGCATCATCATCAGTATCTTCATCAGCATCACTATCAGCATCATAATCATCATCATCATTACCATCCGAATAAGCAGATTCATCATAAACATAAGCAGTGTCACCATCAGTATCAGCAACATCATCATCATCATCAGCATCATCATCATCATCATCATTATAATCATCATCATCATCATCGTCATCATCATCATCATCATCAGCATCATCATCATCATCATCAGCATAATCATCATCATCATCATAATCATCATCATCATCGTCATCATCATCATCAGCAGCATCATCATCATCATCATCATCATCATCATCAGCATCATCATCATCATCAGCATCATCATCATCAGCATCATCATCATCATTATCATCATCATCAGCAGCAACAGCATCATCATCATCACCATCATCATCACCACCACCACCACTATCATCATCATTAGCATCATTATCATCAGCATCATCATCAGCAACAACAGCATCATCATAATGTGCATCAGCATCAGCATCATCAGCATCAGCATCAGCATCAGCAGCATCATCATCAGTATCTTCATCAGCATCACTATCAGCATCATAATCAGCATCATCATTACCATCCGAATAAGCAGATTCATCATAAACATAAGCAGTGTCACCATCAGTATCAGCAACATCATCATCATCATCATCATCATAATCATCATCATCGTCATCATCATCATCATCATCAGCATCATCATCATCATCATCAGCATAATCATCATCATCATCATCATCAGCATCATCATCATCATCAGCATCATCATCATCATCATCATTATCAGCATCATCAGCAGCAACAGCATCATCATCATCATCACCATCATCATCATCACCACCACCACCATCATCATCATCAGCATCATTATCATCAGCATCATCATCAGCAACAACAGCATCATCATAATGTGCATCAGCATCAGCATCATCATCAGCATCAGCAGCATCATCATCAGTATCGTCATCAGCATCACTATCAGCATCATAATCAGCATCATTACCATCCGAATAAGCAGATTAATCATAAACATAAGCAGTGTCACCATCAGTATCAGCAGCATCATCATCATCATCATTGTCATCATCATCATCATAATCAGCAGCATCATCATCATCATCTCCATCATCATCATCATCATCATCATCATCATCATCATAGTCATCAACAGCATCAGCACCAGCAGCATCATCATCATCATCAGCAGCATCATCATCAGCATAATCACCAGCATCTTCATTATCATCATCATTGTCATCATCAGCAGAAACACCATCATCAGCATCATCATCCGCATGAGCAGCATCATCATCATCATCACCGTCGACGTCGAAAGCATCAGCATCATCCTCGGCATCAACATCACAGTATCATCAGCAGCAGCATCATCCTCATCACCATCATCGTAATACTCAGCTCCCTCAGTATCTTCAACATCATTATCATCATAATCCTCAGAATCATCACTATCATCTTGATCGTGCTCGTCTTCCAAATTATCCTCAACATGCCTATCATCAAAATCTTCATCGTCATCACCATCACCATCACCATAACCGCCATCAGCATCATCGTCACCACTACCGTCAGAAGCCACAGCAGCGTC